GCATATTATCGTTTACCTGCACAAGAATTGGTACTGCGGTAGAATTTATTTAGAGAAAGTAACCTTTTTCAAAATGAATTTTACGACTAAGTTTAGTATTTGATAACTTATTGCTTCCTTTAACAATTTTTTTTCTAATGAATTATTCACAATATACATGTATTCTAATGTAGTAGATATATAAGATTTCTGTAAGCTACTATTCACACCCTACTACCGGCAACTGGGACTGCCGATGCAACTGGGACGACAGGCGACAAAATAAGAACAGAATAGTCAAATTTCAAGCGTTGTTCGAGAAAATTTGGTCAAACTGAGCTTATATAATTAAAACTGCTATTCCATAGTCACAATCGAACAACGCTTGAAATTTAAATTTATTCTATTCTTATTTTGTTTAAATAAGAAACCATAGTTTTATATTCTACAGGAAAATAGTTTACGGTATGGTCAAGACGGGAAACCATCACACGTTAGTAAATGAATTATGTTATAAATTGTCAAAAATGCGATAAAAATCAGGTCTCTGTCATAGCGAAAAACAACTTTGCCGTCTGTCGTCCCAGTTGCATCGGCAGTCCCAGTTACCGGTAATAGGGTGTGCTATTGGGCTTTTGAGAGAAGCGCTAACTTTTACTTTCGACGGCTTACTTTTACACTAGGACAATATATGGAAGCTCTTTTGCGATAGAAATATTAAGCTAAACAGTTAATTTAACGAAAATTATGGGCCATTTGATATTGAAAGGAGATACTACCCTTCACGAATAATTAATTTTGTAACTCTGCCTCCCATCATCTCTTGCGTTGATTGCATACCGGTAAGTCATGTTAGTGTCCCTAACACCATGCCTATATACATGTATAACCATTATTAAGGTTTTCTTGTCTATTATAATTTTCATAACTCCGTACATTAGGCAGGTTTAAATGTCAAAGTAAGCCATCAACTGTAAAAGTCAGTGATTCTCGCAAAAGTCCATTGCTTAGATATTTTTAGGAGAAATTGTAAAATTGTTGTCTTAGTCGTTAGATATTTTGTGAAAAGGTATTTGATCTAATATTACGTAAGTATAAAGAAAGCGGGCCAGTTTTATTTACATTGTTAAAAAGAACGTGCAGTAAAAGTACACAGGGAAGCGAGACAGTTATGTATACACTCAAATAGAACGTACAGTAAAGGTACAAAGGGAAGCGAGACAGTATTGTTTGCACTCAAATAGAACAGAACGCAAGAAAAGGGGAGTGAGTCATTCTGTATACAATCTAATGAAACGTTAGTGCTAAAGAACTCTTGCAGAATTGAATATTATTTAAAAGATAATCGCTGCTTAGAAACATTTCGTCAGTGTTTCTAAGTGAGGGGTTATTTGTCAGAGTTAGATGTTTCTCAGATAAATAAGAAATACTAGAACTGATAAATGTCTATCACGAGAACCTGCAAGCAAATATCAATACGGTTTTTCCGTACTTATCTTTTCATTTTTTATATGTACAATATTTGTTAATAAACTAATTATTTCCTCATTTTACTGAAAATGAATCAGAATATGAAACATAAGTGAAGGCAGGAAGTGAATTTGTTCGCCATTTAAAGGGATTTTATCACGTATCTAAATTTCTTAAAAATGAAACACTATTTTATTCTTGAAACATATAATTATCGTTTAATTCTGAAATAATGCTGAAAACGGCCGTAATTAGACGATAAAACGCCCGTAATATAAGGTCCTCGAAGTAAAAATATCCACTCATTAGATAAGGGTCACGTAAAACGTCATAGGTGTCAATGGTCAATAGAACTCGTAAAGCTTATGGTAAGAAAAAAACATATTGAATAGATTTTTATGCTAAATAAATAGAATACACAATATGGCCGGTTGAAATTTTGACATCGACTATATCCCTTTGGTTATGGACGGTCTTTTATGTATGAACGTCTAGCAGAGAGAAATAATCAGAAAATATGCCGACAATTGGAGAGGTAACAGAATACTAATCTCTGAAGACTTTTCATACTTTTTTGTGATAGTAGTAAGAAAATAATTTTATCTTATGTTTTACAACAGAGTGAATTGGTTAGGAGTTCTGCATGACTTAATAAATAAAATATAGTGTGTAAAAGAATTGTAGAATTATGTGAAAAAATTATTTCAATAAATAACGTCTTCTGAAATTCAATCGGGATCGGGATTGTATAAAATATTTCACCGTAAATTTTGTTACGTTTTTTCAACTATTTTCGAGGGAAAACATACATAAAATAATCTTGTTTTTGATTTTATTGATAAAATATGGCATATAAATTGAAAATCATGTCAAATATATATAAAATTTATTTGAATTCATCAAATAAACCTCGAGTTCTCTAGGGTTCTCTAGAGTTCTCTAGGGTTCTCTACTTAGTTGGACCGGTTGACAACTCGGGACTGCGACTAAATAGAACGAATTACAAAAGTTTAACTTCGTAAACATTTATAGATATGGGAATTTTAATTTCTCCTTCTTTATTATTTTAATTAATTATATATAAATAAATTCTGTACATCTTCTATCTGTCCCAGCAGTGAATATCATGTACTATGACATTTCTTCAATGGCGCCGTACGCCATTACGAAGTTCACAACATTCCTACTAGATTCTGTGCGACTTTTAAAAATGCGTGTTTGTAATTTATTATTTTTTTTAAAACGTATCTTTCCTTAAAATATTTTATAGGACAGAAAAAAATCGTGATCGATCGGGCATAAACGATTGTTCTGAATGGAGATAAACGCCATCGCATTTGCAGAACATCTCTCGACCAAGTCCAGGAAAGGTGGAAAAAAATTTCTTCCAAAAACCTTTCTTGTGCACATTTGTGCATCCTAAAGCCACAAATTATACCTTACTACCTGTCAATTATCCAGTTATCACTTAATCATTTTCTAAAAGGTTTAATAGACACAACAAATGAGCCCTTTTGTATACACAATAAGTAGTTCGCTTGACCAGGATTGACACATATGACGTCAGAGCAATGGCGCGTAACATCGGCGATCAAAATATGCATATTGAGAATTTCAAACTTTGAATCGCTGAAACATCAAAAATATTAATTTTCTAGCAAAGATTTTTAAATATATGATTTTAATAGCATGTAAACTTTTTCATATAAAAAATTTTGAGACGTGATAAAAACCCTTTGAGACAAAGGTTTATGTTTCTCTGTTTTTACCAGAATGCTTTTAGATTTTGAGTAAATCTTTTCTTAATGAAACAAATTTCATTTTCAATATTTACCTGTTAAAGATATTGCCAACTGCTGAGCTGAACGTCGCAATTAAAATTTTAATTATCTCTTCCATATTTCATACCAATGTTTATTAGACTTAGAGTCGAATATTGAACTAGTACATCAGGTATCTATAGATCTATGTAATTGAAATAAATTATATCGGGAGACAAAATTCCTCCACAAAGCCCAGATTGGGTTTAAGATAACATATATATATATATATATATATATATATATATATATATATATATATATATATATATATATATATATATATATATATATATATATATATGTATATATATATATATATATATAATAGCAATACAAATATTAAGTTAATTTTCTAGAATATCCTATTTTTTCCTACTAAATTTTTTCTTACGTATAAAATTGAAATTTTATCAAACATTGACAATATTATCACATCTGTTAACGGTATTTATCCAGAAAATAAAATATCGTTTGAGTGTCAACAGTAAGGCTGGGTCCATGATGTCCCATAGCGGTTGCCGACTTGCAGCGGAATACCAATAACCAAAGAAAAACATTTAAAAGGAAAAAAAAATAATCTGATATTATAGATTTGAAGGGGGCTATTGCATCCATCAATTAACCAATCTATATAAATAATGCCAAGATTTGACAAAATAATTAGAGAGAAAAACACTTCCTTTTCATAATTCTACACAGTTTCATGTAAATTCATCAAACGTTAAGGTATTTAAAGTGAATACATAATTCCAGAGAAAAGAATATTATAATTACTCACATTAGACAACTAAAGACAAGGTATGGTAATGGCTGAATTTGGTCCTTTTTTTGATATTAAAAAAGTCTAAACTGTTATAGTTTGCAATTAAAAACTATTAGTTTAAATGATGCCTATTTCATAAGCAGCACTCTGATTCAAAGCGTACACGGAGGCCACAAGAGGTTGACAAAGTGGAACATTTTACCAAATTTCCTCCTGATACATCTGATAAAATTACGTCAAATATGATGTACTTTTTACCTCTTAAAACATAGAGCACAAGTTTGCCTATCTGAGATTTTCAGACATAAATGTGTCTCATACTTGTGCTTGAACTTTGAATAAATTTGTAGATAGGCACGCTTGTGCTCTGTGTTTTCAGAAATAAAATGTGCTTTAAAATTGATAAAAATTTGATAAAAATGAGAAAAATAGCCTATTTTGTGATATTTCTGTGTCCTCTGTGTATGGCCTATTTTGCAATATTTCTGTGTCCTCTGTGTATGCTATAAATTAGAATCAATACTCAGTTTGTAACAAGCATGATAACAGGTTATTTTTAAATCATGAATTATTGGAACGTTCTAAGAAACATCCCTCAAACCAGGAGCCAGAAAGAGATCTTTACCTGTCTTGTCCTTTGGGATAAATATATACCTTTTCTAAATACTTTTTTGAATGGTATTGATAAAATGCTTTCATTGTCAATCATACATGCATTTTTTTTAAAAATATGATCATTATTTACTTGGTGGAAACCTTCCTGTTTTTAATTTCCGCTTCTTTCCTTTTGTGATCTACTTCCTTATATTGCTATTATTAGTTTCAAGCATTTAAAGAGCTCTTAAAAACTTATATAACTAATCAATTATTGTTGTATAAGTGATAAGGCTGTTTGTTTGTTGTTGTTATTTACAGCAGATTATATACAAGTTTTTTTTTAATCATATTCTGCAATTCAGAGTAAAATGGGAGAAGAAAAGGTCCATCCTCATCCCGATTCCATTAGCCGTAATGAAGAAGATAGCGAGATAGGATCTTACCTACTGATTTCCTTTTTGATTGGTATATTGGTAGTACCGATTGTTAATTATGGACGAAAAGAAGAATCTGATATTGGCGCTGTCGATATTGTTATCGGTATTAACATAACGGTCAGATTGGTGGGTGCAATGGCACTTGTTTTTGCTTTTGTTTCGATTTATCATCGTGAAATGGAATGGATAAGTGGAAAATGTTCCTCTCTTGTTATCAAAACGAAACTGGGATTTTTATTAGTTTTTGGATTAGCAAAAATTATTTTCATTGTAATCTATGTCACATTTTATCTTAAATGCAGAGAAATGATTTCATCGGAATTGACAAATGTGATAGCTGCTGAAGGCTTTACAAACATATTTTTTATTATTTTACAATTGATTTTTTTCATGTATGTTGGCCAATATTCGTTCATCAGCAGACCGACAGTTAGATATGTTTCTTCACTTATTGCAATGGGGAACTTCACAGATTTGTTGGTTTTTATGACACTCAGTGTTAATGGAAACAAGGACCTTATATTTGACAAAAACAATACAGCTACCGTCAACTGCACCGGGTACAGTCCAAATGTTGTAGAAAATCTTATATCAGTATCTAATGAGTTCAGAGCTCCGATTGGAGTGCAGTTTTCAATTTTGGCAATAACTCTTGCGTTCAGCATGAAACCAGACACCGAAAATCTTTTCAACAACTCAGACAAACTTTGCCTACAGTTCTCTTGGAAAACTCCAAAGTGTTTAGTGAAAATTATTATAGTGGCGGTTATAATAAATGTTCCTCTTTTGGTTTGTGCTCCTTTCAAGTTAGTGTTTCCAGATAGCAAAACACAATCCCTAATATGGCTAAGCTTAGTTTATACGCAAAAGACAGCAATTTTTGCATGTTTATTAGGAATTAATTACAAAATATTTAAGAAACTAAAACTGCGTATAAAAAATGTGGCACTGAATGCAAACGAAACTGTGCTTCTAGTCAGTACCGTGGGTGTGGTCTCCTATTTGGCAATACAAATGTTTTATCAAGAGGAAATCAACGGACTTTTAACTTCGATTGCAAGCATTAGTCTACTTTCCATTCTTTACCAAGTAACCATAATTTTATTCGGCAGGAGAATGATTCTCATTGGAAATGAAATATCCGACATCCATGTAATACAACAACTGGTAGTGATCCTGGTCTGCAGCAATATCTCTGTATGGTTTAATGATTTTCTGTATGGATTATGGGACATGGCCAACGACAATGTGCTAAGAGATAGTCTTTTTAAGTACATTGCTATGATACTTTATCCTTTAATTGCCTATTACAGATTTCAGTCGGCAATGGAGCTCATGGAGTTGTACCGTCATATTTCTTGATAATGGCTTAAGAAAAAAATAAATGAATAGAAATATAACAGTCGTCATGACTTATGTTGACCATATACACTTACAAAGAATTAGTTGGTTTAATACATACTTAGGTTAATCAGAGTTTTACCCTTTTATCCAGAGGATATTATCCGCGCTTTGTATACCAGTGCACTGCCATATCAGGTACGCAGATAATGACGTACTCGGTCTACAATTTGACGTAAATGAATTCATTAAAAATCATTCTTTAGCGGAACGTTGATATTTTCGATCAGTTGGGACTTATGGAAGCATATTGATGCGAGTAGTATTATTTTTAGATTTATCGTACACACGAGACACTAAGTCGTACGAACGAGATACTCAGGCGTGTGTACAGATAATAAATCTTAATTACGATATAAAACACACCCTCACACACAAACACACACACCCTCACACACACACACACACAGAGAGAGGGGGGGCTTTTAAGTGTTTAGAATCTTTATTAAACACAGGCCTATTTTTCGCTAGCTAGAAAAAATCTGAGATCGTTTTTAAGAGTTGTTGTCCCTCACCCCACCCCTTCATCCACATCCCCCTCCGGAAAAATTCCTAGATAGGTCCCTCAATTTCTATTGAAAATGAATAGGGATGCATGAAGTATGATAATACTAAATTGTAACATGCAGAGAGAGAGAGAGAGAGAGAGAGAGAGAGAGAGAGAGCTTTCTGCATTGCTGCAAACGTAAATTATGGAACTCTAAACGTGTCAAAAATGCTGTTTTTCACATATTAGCTAGGTAATGTAACCATGTTAACCATTCCACAAAGTAACCGATTTTTGCTTGATATAAGTTCATGGTATTAAATACTTTTATCGTAGCAAGTTTGAAGAATTAAATATTTACATAAAAACGAAAAATTCCAAACGCGAAACTGCGTGTTTGTTCGGGGGAGGGGGTAATCTCGTTATTACAACTTTTATATTTTAGATTCCTTGCATTAACCCAACCTAATATTCTTTTTGCGATTATTTTAATCACCTTAGAAAAATAACAATTCCCAACGCCTGGCCTATCGCGAAGAACTAATAAATGATATAAGGGGAAATGGGTAGTGATAGTGATTTTTGTTTAATTTGAACATTACATTACACACTGTCAGAGGCAATTGAGAAGCCCACGATTTGCATATAGCGTGTTTGATTTTATTTGATTATCATCTCGATATCCTTAATCTGCCTAATCTTATTATAACTAAAGTTTATAAAATTTGTATCTGAATTATCAAAAATAAAAATAATAAAAAAGAAAAAGAGAAATGAAAAGAAAAAAGAAATTAGTGAAGAAGAAAGAGTTAAACGAAACTGTTTGTAATTATATGTCAATTCTGACTACCCTCATAGTAGTTTTTCCCCCCAAAAAATTACAAGGTAAGAGAAATGTTCATTAACATATCTTTCAATCTAAAATAGCAGTATATCTAAGTCAATCTCAGCAAAAACTCATTATACTCAGTATTTATCTTAAAATGGAGCAAAATAAATTATGCAGGTGCTGTAAATGGTTTAAATTGAGTAGTTAAGTTGAGATAGACAATCAACTCTATCTGACACCAGCAAGTACAAAACTTTAATAGCTTGGAAAAAACTTCCTGTGGGTAAATCATTCCTATGCTGCTTTCATATCTTTCTATAAGTCTTGATGTTTTAGACGTTTTTAAAACATTTAACAGAATAACCTTACATTTGGATATTAATTGAGTTCTGGCATGAAATTCTTCTCAAATTTGCTGTAGGTTCATGTAGGATGTAGGATACACAAAATATGAAAAAGAGCTTAAATCGGTATTGCAAAAAACTTTGACTTCCAAAATGTTTTGAAATTGCAGTGAAAGCAATTTAATCCAAATGTGTTGCAAATGTGTTCGGATTACTTCCTGTCTTTTTTCATTTACACTTTATCTGGCAAACCTACAACGCACAGTATAGGACAGTATTCACAATATGAAAACATCCAATTTCATTTACATCCAAAGTAATTCTTTTTCTCTTTTCCATGAGCTCTCAAGACATAACCATGCCAAATCTCTTAAAATTCATATAGCTCTCTCTCATCTTTCAGGCGTTCATCAAACAGAACAAAATGCAACCAAAATTGTTTGTTTCTTTGTTTGTTTATTTAACGTCCCTTCAAGATTTTTTTCACTCATATTAAAACGCCACCACTTGCTGGTGGAGGGTTGCCAATTTAGACCTGTACTCGGTACCTACGGCCTTTTAGCAGAAAGGGGTCTTCCTTTTCCAACACTTACTGCGACACGGGACCAGTCTCATCCGAAGAATCGGTGTCCACGTCTCGCAGTGGGATTCGAGCCCGCGACGTAAGGATCAACTGCTTACTCCAAGACTCTAGAGCACTGCGTCACGTAGGCGACTTACAATAATTGCAAGCTTATAAATCATAAAATTATGCTCCTCACTCTCTTTCTCTCAACCTACCAAACTGGCACGGCTAGGAACATGGTTACAACACCTGTGCCGTGCATCTGCAACCTTATCAAACCTCTCATACCACTGTTCCCACTCACTACTTAAGGGGATGAAGGACACATGGTCACATGACTCTGTTTCACTACGTCATAGTCTCTGTTTATATATGTGCAAAACGTGTAAAGCATCAGTTCTTGTATAAATTTTTGACATTTTTTTTACTTTACATACTATATTGTATAAAAAATAAAAAGTTTTAAAATTCTTGTAAACATTAACAAATTATAAAAAAGATTGATCCACTCCTCTGTTTCCTTGAACTGCGCGTCCAACACGTCGGTGACGTCATACATGATCTGTTAGTACAACAAGATCATACTCGGTGAATACAGGGGCGGTATTATTATGTAAAAATAATCATAATCAGTATATGATGAAATATTTTGAGAAACGGGGAAACCAGAAATTATTTTTGCATGGCTGATTTTGGAAATCTTATGTAGGTATATCTTATTTCGCTTATTTAGCTTACGTGTGACGTTATAGTTAGTTTTTCCCGTACTCGAGAAATGTAAACATGACAGGTTTTTGTCATGCTTATGTCCTCTTTAACGATGTCCTGTGCAATATTTAGGTCAGCTTCACCATTCGAAATTTTTACAGTTAATCAGTAACTCGAAGGACTTGCTTTCCAACTTAAATCTAAAAATATTGAATGATAGAATTTTTTGTAAATTACATTTTTTGTTGTTTAAGTTATCTTAAAAAGTACGTAATTTTCCCTAACCAGATGCAGTATAGTAGAAGACACTTGCTTTTCCGACTTTTAAATCCTATTCATACTCTGATATATTTTAAAAGATACCTGTCCACTTACATATTTTTTTATATATGCTTAGAAAATCCCATTATGAACAGAGTAATGAGCCCGGAAACATGGAGAATTAAAATCCACTTTGATACTGTAGGGCATTGTATTTGTCAATCAATACCTCTAAAATTAGGTAAGAAACCTAATGATATAACTGCTTTAAGATATGTGGGACATACTTAATTAGAAATATACAAAATATGAAAAAAATTGAATGACAAGTATTTTTTCAGCTCAAGGTCCTTCTTCCCCTTAAATTTAATGAATTCATTTTGGGTCTGCTCTGTAACAGAGCTGTGTAATCAGGAACCTCTACATGTAAAATATATATTTTTTTGATATGTCAACAACTTCCTTATGACCATTGTTAATAAATAAATCCAGAATAAAACATTGAAAAGTAGAGTTTGTTGAAATTTTAAAGAATATTTTATCTTATACCTAAAAAATGTATATTCGATCCATAATGAAACGGAAACAAGACATTCTGTGAGACATTAAATAAAATGGAGAAGGAAGATGATGGCATCCACTGCCATCTTGATTCCACCGGCGGCGGAGAGCAGGACGGTGAGATGGGATCTTACTTATTGATGTCCTTTGTGCTGGGCATATTGGTGGTTCCTATTGTTGTGTATGGACAGAGAGACGAATCTGACATCGAAGCTGTTAATATTGTCGTCGGTATTAATATAATAGCTAGATTTCTAGGAGCAATGGCTCTAGTCTTTGCCTTTGTGTCAATTCATCGAAATGAAAGAGAATGGATCAGTGAAAAGCATTTTTCATCAATTACTAAAATCAAACTGGGATTCTTATTCGTTTTTGGATTTGCTAAAATTGTTTTCACTGTGATTTATGTCACATTCTATTTAAAATGCAAAGATTTAATTTCACTGGAATTAACAAGTATCGTAGCAGCAGAGTGTTTTACAAGCATATTATCTATTCTTCTGCAACTGAGTTTTTTCTTTTATGTGGGTAGATACACGTTGATAAACAGAACAGCAGTCAAATATGTTGCATCTCTTATTGCACTTGCGAACTTTACCGATTTGTTGGTTTTAATGACACTTGGTGTTAAAAAAAACAAGGACCTTATATTTGACAGTAACAACACAGCCACTATTAACTGTACTGGATACAGTACGAATGAGGTAAAAAATCTTATTATGGCATCTAATTCATTTAGGACTCCGATCGCTCTGCAGTTTTCTGCCTTGGCAATCACCCTTGCTTTTAGTATGAATCGAGACAACGAACGACTCTTCAACAGATGGATCATTCTAGGCATGCAATCCTCATGGAACACCCCCCAACAGCTGATAAAAATAGTAACAATAGTTGTTTTGATGAACGTTCCTATTTTGGTTTGTGCTCCTCTGAATATGGTGTATCCTGATAGCACAACTCAAAACCGAATATGGCTTAGGTTATTGCTGGTTCGAAAAACAATAACCTTTGTATGCATTTTAGTTATTAACTACCTAATATTCAAAAAGCTGAAACTGTATGTAAAGAATGTGTCACTTAATGCGAATGAAACCGTACTTTTGTTCAGTGGGATGGGTGTGGTGTCGTATGCTGCAATTCAAATATGTCTCCAACCGGAAATTGATTCGCTTTTGACAACACTTATAGTTATTAGTATTTTATCAATACTATATCAAGTTACCTTAATTCTATTCGGCAGAAGAATAGTACTTATCGGAAATGAAATATCAACCATTAATAACATTAAACAATTGGTGGTAATCCTTGCCTGTAATAATATATCAATCTGGTTTAACGACTTTCTTTATGGATTGTGGGATATGTCAAACGATCATGTCTTAAGACATACTATTTTCAAATCCATTGCCATGATGTTGTACCCTTTATTAGCTTACTATAGGTTTCAGTCAGCGATTGAGCTCATGGAATTATATAGACATGTTTCTTGATCAAGAGAAGCCAATGACCCTCTTCAATATTGTGAGAGATTAACAAAGTTTCAGTAAAATAAAAGTTACATGTATCTAAGAAGATCTAAGATTCTTGTAATAGATAGGGACGATACCATGGTTTCTGATTAAAGTTTGCATCCCTTTACATTGCGTGAAACTGATTTAAATTTTTGACTTTTTAAACTTTTCAAAAAAAAAAAAATTCTCAATGTTACCTTTTTGAATTAGAATTTTTTTTTTTAAATCAAAGGATACATGCCAATTTTAGAAAAGATAAAACTATTTCTTAATTTCAACATATTCTGTAAATTTATGTTTACTGTGTGTAAAAACGAGTATAATGTATAACGCATGTTCAATAAATGCTTTAAACCAGAAAAAGAATACGAGCAAAACGTAAATTAAACTTTAATTATATATTGCAAATAACAAGACAAAACATATAAAAACATTAAGTTTCATTTTCAAATTGGGGCCAGTTTGTAATCAACAGTATGAAAAATGATTGCACAGAAAAAAAAATCAGAAAGAACACTGCAAGAAGAGTAAAGTACATGTGATATGAGTTCATTTTTAAGTTTTGTTAAACACTTTTATGTTAAGATATTTTTAACATTTTTAATATGTGTTATGACATAAGTTTTTTTCGGCAACTTATTAGTTAACTTCGATAAGTTGAATTTGTAAATTACATGGTACAATTTATATGTTATCTGTTTAATTAAAATCAAACCAAAAAATACAATTCCCTTTTGCAGAAATAAAAATAATATCAAGTATGAATATTACATTACATTTTAAGTACAAAATGTACATGCATGTTTATTTCTGATATAAAACCCAAGGGGCTCCTTGACTCTTGCAGTGGATTAATTTACCTAGAATTTGTCCTACAATTAGAATTTTTCCATTTTATTATTTTTTCTTGCGTGTGTGTGTGGGGGGTTGGGGGGTTGGGTGGGGGTTATGCTCCACTGGTTTTGTATACGGAGACACAGAATAAATGTCAAAATCTATATCTGGATTTCAGTGGTAAATTCCAAAATTAGAAGTACTCAGTTTTGTGTGTGTACTAACTCACAACAGAAACTGTGTTATGAAGAAGGTGAAAATAACGAACATTTATCGATTTCAAAAAAATCCCCCAAAATACAAATCTGTGAAGGGGGCATAATACAGGGATCCCTGGAAAATCCAGAGGTGGGATCAGGTGCCTAGGAGGAATAATCATACCGTGTTGATCGGTTGCACCCGCCGTGAGCCCTATGTATTGATCAGGTAGAGGGAACATTCTGTAGTCAGATTTAGAATAAAAACTTAGGCCTTACAAATACGACCCGATGATAGGTTACATTTGTTAACAAGGTCATTATAACGACCATATAAACGCATTCATTAAAAACTTTGCGTTCGACAACGACTTGTCCTAACTGTTTTTGTGAAAATGATTTTTTTTTCGATCAGTAATTATTCAATATAAATCATCTTTTTGTTTTATACCAATGAAAAGGATAAAGATAAAGGATAAAGATTACGAACATTGATCGATCTCAAAAAATCTGCAAACAATACAAATCTGTGACAAGGGCACAAAACACGCTCCCTGGAAATTCCAGAGGTGCTATCAGAGGTGGGTGCCTAGGAGGAGTAAGCATCCCCTGTCGATCGGTCACAACGGCCGTGAGTCCTATGACGGAATATTTCGTCATTTTTCGTATAGAAACAAAGGCCTAAAAATTGGTATGAAACACCTCAGCCAAAATACGATCTAACGGTAGGTTATATTGCTAACAAGGTCATTATAACGACCACAGAATTAACGAAATGCTGACTTTGAATAATGTCGTTGAAATCCCAGTAACATCAAGTTATCAGTCATTAGCCTGCCTCGAGCTATTGAGTATCGAGTAAGTTGGGAGACCTGCCATATGCAGGTGATAGCGGAATAATACTACTTAAAAAGGGAAAGTTACCGATAGAAAAGCCGAAGTCATCTCGTTTGTCTAACAATTTAGTTGCTAGTTGGCCTTTATCGTCTATAGTCAGTAAAACATCCAAATATGAAAAAAAAGTTGCAGACTCTGTGGTAACTTTTGTTTCGAATTCACTGGGATATATTGAGCAACATGTTCTTTGAAAACTATGTCAATGAAGAATTCTTTGGCTTTGTACGTAAATGGATACTGTTAGTTAGTCGCTGGTCAGTATTATATATAGATTGTGGAACATAAGTGTAATGGGAAGAATGCAGAACTAAGGACAGATGATACAAACATTATTTTTTCAAAGACCATGAAAATTACAACTTTAGTCATGTTTTTATAAGTAAAATAAACACGTTTAACCGCATAGATTTTAATTTTATTTCAAAGTTTTACAATAATGTACTATAAAGTGATAAAAAGTTGTAAGATTTAGGATGATTGCAAAAAGATAGAATTTTGAACATCATAAAAGTTTACAATTTTTAATATCTTAGAAATTTGATATTTGCATCATTTAGAACCAAAATAGGTCCATATATATATATATATATATATATATATATATATATATATATATATATATATATATATATATATATATATATATATATATATATATATATATATATATATATATATATATATATAATTTTGATATTTTGATATATATGTAAATTTGATATTTACATCATTTAGAACCAAAATAGGTCCATATATATATATATATATATATATATATATATATATATATATATATATATATATATATATATATATATATATATATATATATATATATATATATATATATATATATATATATATATATATATATATATATATATATATATATAAAGCACCAAAAATGACCAACGACACGAACAATAATAATTGTCAAATTTTCGGGACGACCTGTCCCTTCCTCAGGACAAAGAAAAAAGATAAGAAGTCATAAAAACAAAGGAAATAGAGAAACAAAAACAACTAGCACTACTACTAAACTATCAAACACTAAATATTTACTGTATTACATGTTTAATTTGAAGTTTATAAACAACTGTGAACAAAGAAATTCGGAGCGCTATGAATTGCGTCCGATCTATCGGGTGTACTCTGGGTAAGTGCGACTTACATAATTGAACGAATTAATTATCGCTAATTAATTACGACCAATCAGTAAATCGTACATTGTCTTATTCTCTCAAAATAGCGTAACTATACATGATAAAAAGAAATTAAAGATAATAAGGAAGAGCAATTTTAAAATATGAATTTGGATATATTATAAATTTGGAAATCTGATAAAAGAAATAAACAAAAATGTAAGCTGTAAATATTTGGGTAAGTTGTTCCAGAATTGCTAATGCGAATTAACGGTAAAGTTTACACTATATAGAGAGAATGAACTTGTTTGTTAGAATCCGGGATTGGGTCTAGTTCACGTTCATCCTGGTGAAGTCATTAAGTTTGTTAATACCATTAGGGCGGAATGACTTCAGCCTGTGCATCCAAAACTTTTCCTTGCCTTTTCTCTGAGCGTCTGTGCATCTTGGATTATGGTCAATAACCACTACTGTCATGTCCTCCCATTTGTGACCTTCAAGGTTGAAATGTTCCCCCACGGGTTCATTGAGTTTTTTGGTCCTAATGGTAGAACGGTGATTATTGACTCTCCTGCGGAGATCTCCTGTTTCACCAACATACTGTTTGGAGCAAACTTTGCAACTGATGAGATAAATGCAGTTGTCTGTTTGACAGGACAAATTCCCTAGTATTTTGTAGCTGCGGCCTGTAACGGGGCTGTTAAAGCTGTCTGTGTCAGAGTTGTGCTTACAGAGAAGACATCTTCTGTCAGAGCAAGTTTTTAAGCCCCCTTTAGGTAATGGATTGTCCAATCTGGTTCTTACTACCATGTCCTTTAGGTTCCTCGGGCGTCTGATGCAGCCAATGGGGGCTCCTTAAAGACCTCTGCCATTCGTTTATTTGAGTGGAGAATTGGCAGATTCTTTTGAAGGATACCGCTGAGGTTCTTAAGGACGGGATGGTATGTGGTTACCAGAGGGACCCTGCCGCTATTGTCTTTTTCCTTGTAGCGTAATAGGTTTTGCCTGTCATGTCCCGCCATCTCATCAATAGCAGTTTGTACGGTGCGGGCATTGTAGCCTCTCTTGCATAAGTGGGACTTAAGGAGACCGCTTTGTTCTTGATATAAGGCAGGGGATGAACAGATGCGCCGAATTCTGGTGGCTAGACCCTTAGGCACACCCTTAAATGTGTGTGGGGGATGATAGCTAGTTGGCATAAGATACAGATGGGAATCTGTGGGTTTCGTGTGGAGACTGAACTCGATTTCACCATCAGTCAGGGTAGATGTAGTATCTAGGAATATGTTTTTCGAATTAGATACGTCTACTGTAAATTTGATAGACTGATGAAAGGTGTTGGCAAACGAAATGAATGCCTCGAGGCTCTCACGACATTCCACCCACTTCATCTCTGTATCGTCAATGAAACGCAAATGGCGGGACATGACAGGCAAAACCTATTACGCTACAAGGAAAAAGACAATAGCGGCAGCGTCCCTCTGGTAACCACATACCATCTCGTCCTTAAGAACCTCAGCGGTATCCTTCAAAAGAATCTGCCAATTCTCCACTCAAATAAACGAATGGCAGAGGTCTTTAAGGAGCCCCCATTGGCTGCATCAGACGCCCGAGGAACCTAAAGGACATGGTAGTAAGAACCAGATTGGACAATCCATTACCTAAAGGGGGCTTAAAAACTTGCTCTGACAGAAGATGTCTTCTCTGTAAGCACAACTCTGACACAGACAGCTTTAACAGCCCCGTTACAGGCCGCAGCTACAAAATACTAGGGAATTTGTCCTGTCAAACAGACAACTGCATTTATCTCATCAGTTGCAAAGTTTGCTCCAAACAGTATGTTGGTGAAACAGGAGATCTCCGCAGGAGAGTCAATAATCACCGTTCTACCATTAGGACCAAAAAACTC